TAATTTACAGTAAGATTTAAATTTAAAGGTACAAAAGTTCTAATTAGATTTATTGTGTAATTCATATGTAATTTATTGATGATGTGAATGTTTTTATGTTTATTATAGCATAAAATCGGCTATTTTTCCCTATTTTGCCCATGTTATAACGGGACCAAAACCATGCGTTAACATAGTCACGCGCTCTTGTTATAGCCCGGTTTCACCTATTCGCAATACATACAGGGCCCAGTAAAACAAACAAAAAAGTTGACGATTTGGCCTGTTTGCCAAAGAGTCATGCGCTCTTGTTATATTGAAATTATTGATTCGAGGGCCTCAGTCGCATAAACGGCGAGCAGCATTCAAGTAATTATGCCGGCAATACGGCGTAGGACATCGCCGCTTGCGTGCTTGAAAAAAAAAACGATAATTGAATCTAGCTGATGTCAATGATCTTTTTTCTACCGCCAATCTGTAATCATTCTAGGAATTTCTGAGGGGCCTGTTTTGTCTTGGGTAGAGTAATGTTATGTTTTTCTTAAGTTAATGTATCTCCAAAGTTAAACTTTGTTTAATCAATTAAAATTCGAAATTTCGTTCGGTTCCCAAAATGTTGGCCCCGGAAAAAATAAAACGGATACGTAAAACATGTATAATGTTGGATAAATACCGTTCAAGCACAAGGATTTAATATTTGTGATTTGTATATAATATACATCATGAATCTGTTTAAAAATTTTATGCTATAATAGCGTCAACGCACGTTTATTTCGTGCTATAAAGTCTGCAGAGTCCCTCGGAACTGTTGGAACCAACCGTTTCTCGGGACTCTGCAGACGTTATAACACGAAAAACGTGCGTTAACCCTATATTATTTATTGCGAAGTACAAATTGTATAGAGGATATTTGTTTAGTTCAGTGTAAGATCGGAATATATTTCACCGAGTGAGCACCAAAATGTATATTTCACGAGTGGCGCAGCCACGAGTGAAATATGAACTTTTGGTGTTCACAAGGTGAAATATATTTCAATCTTACACTAAACTAAACAAATTTTCTTTTTATTATATGCAAATAAACGTTTTAAAAAGACATTAAACCTAATACTGAATGAAAAGCGCGCCAAATAATTATACAACTTGACGTCATTTACGACGTCACGTCATTAAGTTGGTACCCAGTACTGTGCACGCTGGTATTTAACTCAAACAACGTAAGGGGCTTAAATTCAAAACAGTGAAATTATCAAAGTGGTAATTTCACTGTTTCAAAAAGTGAAATTACCAGTTTTATATCACCGTTATATTTCTATAAACCACCGAAAAGCATGTTATAAAGATTAATATTTTCAGAAAATCGCTTATCATCGCTTATCGACGTTTATCAACGAAATAAAATTTAAAGGCGCATACTCGTTTAGATTTATTTGAAGTAGAACCCAAGTTCCCGAACATACATGTTCTGCTCAAGCACTTTTACTATATAATAAATATATGCCTAAAGCAGCACGATAATTTTCATGAAAATTTGAAAATGTATTAAGCAGTATAATATTGTTAAGTTACCAAAATAATGCAATTTACACATTATCAATGGCACTTTTCAACCCAATGTCCTGTAGAGGTAAAAAAATATGCAAAAATTGACCTTACTGCATTAGCAACGCAGTAGAAATATAGTTATAAATACTGAACTAGAAATGTGTCATCATGCCACGGATGCCCCCGCATATGCAGCCAAAATTTCAGATGTTTTAATATTTACCGTAGTTCCAAATTTGTTTGCACAAATTATTGTTTTCATTTTAAGTTCAAAGCCCTTAAAACTTTTCAATGTTAACACAAACCATTTCCATACAATGTTCAAGGCACTGAAATTATTCAGTCTTAACCTTTTGAAAAAAGCATATTTCATATTTGTAGCCAAAATAATGGCTACATACATTTCCACAAAAGTATGAGTGCTGAAACTGAAAGTTCAAAAATTTTCCAATATTCAAGAAAGATAAGTTTGTCCAAAATCATTGACCCACGACCAAATTCAAACTTAAAATGCTTATTCCTAAAACCCCAGTCACACTAGAGCTTACGATTACTTGCGACCACCGGCGACTTGTAAAACTGACGATCATCAACGATTGTCTGCGACCAAAACCATTTTTGCACAGATAAATTTACGTTTGCGAGTATCGTAAGACAAGTCATCATTGACAATCGTTCGACAGGTCATAAGTAAACGTACGATGGTCTCAAGATTGCCTGGGATTATTTACGACTACCCATGTCATAACATGCGATCACCTACAACTTGTCGTACGACCATCACACGATTACTAAAGACTACTTAGGATTATCAGTGACTAGTGGCAATTTGTAAAGACTGTCGTAAGATTGTCGCACTTCCGAACGACCATCGTGCGACAGCCTGAAGACCTTATAAGATCACTAGCGACCTGTTTGATCGCAAGGAGGTTTTTGTGCAAGCTCAAAAACCTCTCTACGACTGAAATTGGTCGTGGGACCTAAATAAGATAACCTGCGACTGCCAAAGATCACCGATGACCGTCGTAAGACGTTTTAAAGATTGTCCGCGACCAGAGGTCACTGGTGATCGTGAACTGGTCTTCACTGGTCGTAAGCTATAGTGTGACTGGGGCTTAAGATGTATCTATATTATTTTCAAAGTGAAAGGGACATAACTCTGCCAAAAAAATCATCGAACCATGACCAAATTCCAACTTGACCTGCCCATTCCTTTGACATATCCATATGTCAAATTTGAGTTGAATATGTAACACTGTTCGGTAGATAATGAACGGAAACTGAAAATTTCATATTATTTTCAAAGTAAAAGGGGCATAACTCTGCCAAAAATCATCGAACCATAACCAAATTCGAACTTGACCTGTATTTTCTCATGACATATCCATATGTCATATTTGAGTTGAATATGTGCAACCGTTCTTAAGATAATGAACGGAAACTGATGATGACGGAATGACAGAATGACGGAAGGATGGAACAGGGTAACACTATATGCCCCGGCCATTACATGGCGGGAGCATAAAAATTGGTAATTAATCGCTATTCTAACACGACCCGCATTTTTCCCTATTGAACATAGAGGAACCGAAAGTGTGTGTTATTATGCTATAAAATCACTGTTTGACGTTCTATATTTAGACATGTGACGTAATCATTATACACGTGACGTAACCACTAAAAATGTGACGCGCTGACAATAAGTACGGAAACAAATCAGGCGCAATTTAGCTAATTATAATGTACGGTAGCATTTATTTGTTGATGTCGTGTTAGACTCGAAATAATATATCCAAATCGGTGAGTTTATTGCTTGATAACATCACTGTTTGTCGTTCGGATGCGCATCATTATATCACTCAGGCTACGCCCTCGTGATATAATTCCCCGCATCCGAACTCCAAACAGTGACGTTATTGAGCAATAAAATCAGTTTGGGATATATTATTTCTTAAATAACATGTAAATTATTACTAGAATTTTGAATCTAGTTATACTTATCCAAAAATCTTAGTAGATTCTACATTTTTCTCAGGTTTGATTTTATCGAAATATATTTGCTCATCTGGAGGCGTGCAGCTTTAATGTACAAAGTGTTCTAAACATAAAGAATATTTCGCTCAATGATTACAAGATAATTCAATGATGTGACTGACTTAAGAAATAATATATCCCAAACTGTGATTTTATAGCTCAATAACATCACTGTTTGGAGTTCGGATGCGAGGAATTATATCACGAGGGCGTAGCCCGAGTGATATAATGTTGCGCATCCGAACGACCAACAGTGATGTTATCCAGCGATAAAATCACCGATTTGGATATATTATTTCGATTCTAACACGACATAAACAAATAAATGCTGCCGTACCTGCTATTAGGCAAAATTGCGCCTGATTTGTTTCCGTACTTATTGTCAGCGCGGTCGGATTTACGTCACATGTACAATGATTACGTCACACGTCTAAATATAGAACATCAAACAGTGACTCTATTGCATAATAATACACACTTTCGGTTCTTCTATGTTCAATAGGGAAAAATGCGGGTCGTGTTAGAATTTGTAATATATCTCGGACAGGTTAAGAGTCCGTTTAAATCACTAAATGAATTAACAAAACTGACTTAAATTTAATTGTTGCTTATTTCCGAGACATATTTATAATTGATTCAGGCTTATTATTTATACACCGTAATTTACAAGTTGTACATAAAGTGTAGACATGTCAATTATTAATTTCATTTATTCCCCCAAAGTTTTGATACTAATGTCAGTAAACAGTTTTATGTAGCTCAATGTTGTCAAACATTCTTAAAGGGACTCCACTGAGGTTTTTTGACATGACGGGACTGGAAAGTTTTTGTTTTTTTAGAATATTACTCCATTTGATGAAGATCTATACTGTATACTATAGTCTGTCCCATTAAAAATGGAAATGAACTTTTGCCTGGTGTGAAATAACAAAACGAGGTTGAATAAAAATTTAACTATTTTTGTAAACTAAAAAAAAGTCACCCTCGAGATTTTTCAGGATTTTACTCTAAAATGTCTACTTTTCTTGTGAAAGCGAATTTTGATTTCTCTATGGAAAATCTCTGTTGTTTATTTTCCGTAGCCATTGCCGAAGTACTCTTCATTTGAAGATGAACGGGAGAAAGCACGCGTCATGTTTCTAAAATATACATGAGGTTCTCGGGGTCGTTTCATGATTATTTTACAAAGCTGGATCTACAAGATGTAACAGTTTTGTTGCAATGCATGATGAAAAACTTAAAAAAAAAAGAAAAATAAGCAACAAGAACACCGAGTCAAATGGATAAAATATCTAGAAATTGCACTTACTTTTAAGCTGAATAGAATTCCTATGAATTTCGGAATAGATATTTATAAATGTCCCTTCTGAAGATTCCTTCATTGCCAGTATCTATCCAGTTCCGTAGACCCGATTTTTTTCTACTTCGAAACTCCTAAACAGTTAAGCGACATTCACCATTGAGGAGACATTATCTTTATTTGGGGATTGTCTCCCGAATAGGAGATATAAGTGGTAAAATAAGATATATATATTTAATGTACCCCGATTAGGGGACAATCTACCATATTAGAGACAGTCTCTTGATTGGGAGTAAATTCTTTACTGTATGCCTTAATCTCCAGATCAGGAGATTGTCTCTTATTACAAAGATTTATTCTAGATTGGGAGACAGATAAGTAAAATATCAAGGCTGACTCCCAATCGTGTGAACCTACGTAAAAAGCGGGAAAAAAAAAGTTTACAAATATTTTCATATTTATTTCAATAACAAATGCTTTACAGATTTAAGTGCTGTTTTACTAAGCATTTTACGTGTCCTCATTTTTACATATATAAATCGTTTGTTTGAAGAACTTCATGTAGCTGTTGGGCAACCTGTGGTAAGTGAAAGTTTTCTGTATTAAATTCCAGTAAGTAAACACACTTCAGTTTTGGACCCCCTCCTTGAACTTGACCGTCATGTTGAAATTCTCCAGTGCAAAATAATGATGAACGTGCAATATTGTTATTTAATATCCAATCATAAATAAGACTCTGTAGACCTTGTGGAACACGTCCAACCAAATGACCATTTGTTGAATCATAAACTATGATTGCCCTTGGATCATAGGTGTTGTTTGTTTCTCTCATACAAACAAGCCGATGGCTTGATTCTGGTCTGTAGCGAAAGTGATGGTATCTGTAAGCCAAATGACAGTTTGTTAAGTGCTTGTTTTATCTGATATGTTTTCAATTATAGTTTTTATCTAGACATTTTAGTAGTTTATTTACATTGATTAAGGAACAATGTTCTTCCTAAGTTTTGCAAAATATGTGATTTGACTAAACTAAAAACTAGCATGATAAAAATGATATAACAAATACCCATTAATGGTTGAGAAGAACATTATTGGGAACTTGCCATCCACATCCCAACCCTTGCTTCTTCTGAAGTCTTTCATTCTGTCCAACCACAAATTGTTTTCCATGTTTGTTTGAATCAGGAAATGTCAGAAGCACTCCAAACATAAAATGTATTTATAGGGATTGATTTCTTGGAATCCAATTACATGTATTACTAAAATATTGTATTTCTGGAATTACATGTATTTATTGCCATTTACATTTTAAAGAAAGTAAGCAGTGCATAATTTATTTATACATATATATATTTTTTTCAGTTGACATGGATGCTCCGGAGAAGAAGCAAATCAAGGGCATGTTTGAAAGGGGTTGTGGTGCAGTATGTCATAGTGATAATAAATCACCAATTTATAACATATTAAGTGGCAAAAAGATCAAGCAAAAAACTATAGCTAGTCTTATTAATCAGCAACTTATAACAAAAAGAACAAAATATGTTTGTGAAGATTGTGTCCAAAAAGTAGAAGGTTCTCTTAGTACAGGGAATACATCCGCCATTAACAATAGTGTTAAGCACAATCCTAAATGTAAAGAAGTCAATATAACTGAAATCCAGGAACACATGCAGTCAGATATTATTAATCTATACAAGGATAGTCAAAAGTGTAGTTTAGAAAACTTAATTGCATATGATGCTGAGACTTGGCTGGATAACAGACCCAAATGTCTTGTTGGTCTGCTGCGTAAACTATGTGGCCTTGATAAAAAAGGTTCTTCTTCTATTGAATCATTACAAATTGCAAAACTGGTGGAAATAATGTATGGATGCCGTAACAAAAATCTCATTCTACCACTGTCTTTTCAGGAAAATTTACTTGTATATTCCATGTCAAGAAATAAGCAGTTGGTTGGCTTTAACTCAAGACTTTTAAAATTTTAGAAATCCTGTACATTGCTATGGTTGATGAGCTCTTAGTGCCTTTTGTACAATTTTGTAAAACTCATTCTGTAGAGGCAACTTTAGACCAATATTGGATATGGAGTCAGGATGTTAAAAATGCTAACTATATGTATTGCCAACAAATTGCTTTAACCTTTTTGCATGCAATTATGGTATTTCGAGTGGGATGTAGGCGTGCTAATCCGTCATATATCATTGCAGGTCGTGAAAAAATGTCACTTTTGTTTTATTGTAGAAATCATCCACGTTATCAAAGAATAGTGGCCATTAATTCATACATTGAAGCAATGATGCCTGAAGATTTGAAAGACTTGATAATGAGATCATTCACTTTAAGCAGAACAGGTAATGTTGGGCATTATCAAGGTGGAGATGCATGCTTAGAGGAAATAAACAAGGAAGCCAAATCCTGGATTTCACCAGTGGGTGTTCCAACTGAAAAGGAGTGGGTGAAAACTTTCAGAAATCTTGATTCTCTAAGTGAAGTTAAACATAAACTGTTAAATTCTGCTACAGGTCAGTCAATTGAGAATAAAACCTGCAGTTATGAATACAGTATTGACTTACAAGAAATTGCTCCTGTGAGAGCTTTATTTAGAAGATACTTTGAACGACCATTGGAAGAAACTCCTCATACAAACTTAAGCGGTGATGTAAAGTTATCTGCTCATTTAGTAAACATAACTGCAGAATCAGAAGCTTTAAGAAGCCAGTATTACATGTGTCTTTTGTCTGGGGAGCAGCTAAAACTCCCACTAGTTTGTGTTACAGAGGATGAATTTCTTAACTCAAAAATGATTGAGAATCTTAGCAAAACTGAAATTCAGAAAAAAATTTATCAATTGCTTGAACAATTTTCAGACCGAGAAAGGCGTCTCTTGGAAGAAATTTTTGTAAAAACTGTCAAAGCCAAAAATAAAGCAGACTATATAGGATTTTATTACACTTTATTAGAGGAAAAAGAGTAAGGTTCTTGAGCACACCTACATGTACATGTACAGTGGAAAATAAGACAATACAAATGCATAAAACTTGAATTGTTTTATTTACATTTAAATCTAAAACATTTTTAAACAAATATGATGTCAACTAATGATGTAGATTGTCACATGACATCTATTCTAATTTGAACAGACAGGCTTTAAATACACATTTTACTACAAATTTCATGTCTTAACAAGGGTAAAAGGTGTATTTCATTAATGTAGACTTATTGGAGTCTAACATATCTTTTGTGCTATTGCAAATAAATAATTACTTGATAAATTTTGAAGTAATAAATATGGATTGACTAGATAAAAAACAAATTCATTTCATATGTAATTCATTGTAAAAAGCAACAATAACTAAACTGATAAGAACATATTTTGGATAATAATAGAATTTATATATAATATAAATATGATAATAATAATATATATAATTTATATATTATATCTGAAATTTAATAATTTCTTATTGAAATCACATTACCAAAAAGGACTGTCCCAAATTTGAAGTGAAGTGAATTCATTTTTACAAATGAACATTATGCCTCAGAAATCCATTTATATATAATTTATATACTTAGTAGTATAATTTTTTTTAGAAATGTCAAACATGTGTTTAATAAAAGAATATTTTGATAATAAATTTTGTGCACATTAGATGAAGATTGCACTGAATGTGAATAAATGTATCATAAAGGTAGGTAAAATGTAAACAAAGTAGTATTTAGACTTCCAAACGAAATACACATTCACTATGAAAAAATGTAAATCAAGAATTTCTGAGGCATAATGGGTCTTTAAGGATGGCATCCATGGAGCTTGATTGATGGGATCATTTTTCTTGCGCCAACATGAACATTGGCGCATATTGCATGGCCCCAGAATGCACATCCTTCAGCTTCACAACCCAACCAGACACCCTGAAGACCATTCTTTTTTCTGAAAGCTTTGTCCTTAATTGAATTAAAAATCCTTTTACAGACGGCACATTTATTTACAGTTAGATCGGTGGTGTGAATTTCCTTCTCTTTCTTGCCAGGCATATTAACAATTTTTTTCACAAGCTTGGCTGGGGTTTTCTTTGGAGTGCCTGGATGGGTTGTAGGGAAGCTTGTTACTGCTCCAGCAGACTGACCAGCCTGTAACCCAACATGCCGAACTTTGATTGACGGAAAGCTTGCAGTAGTTAGGCGGCCACTTTCAGAGATGACTGAAAATTTAACCGAGGCACCACACATTGTGTTTAGTAGCTTAGCCTGGAAAGAAAATGAAGATATTTTAAACTTCTGTCATATACATGTATGTTCTTAGTATAGTGCAATTAAATTTTATTATTATATAATTGTTAATATCAATTTTTCAAACTTATTGCGAAAGAAATATATTGTCCTTCAGAATAGTCATTTACTTATCTAACAACAAGGTCTCTTAAGGCAAGGGTAATGTTAGTATTCTGCCATGTCTTGATAATGATATTAACATATTAAATATTTTTCAATACAGTGTATATTTATAACATTTTCAAAAAAAAATAAAATGCAGATCATTTCATGAGTACACAGCAGTTGTTATAAAGATATAATTATTGATAATACACACAAGCAGTATTCATGTGTGTCTGTGTGTATATATATATTTTCAATTTCATGTAATAAAAAGTGCATGAACAAGGTAATTATTGAAAACACTTAGACAATAATCTGAAAAATAATATTTAATACTTATTTACAGATTTTTGGAACGTCTTGAGCCTTTTTGAAAAGGACTTCTGGCGAGCTCACTTGTCACTAATGAAGTCCTCTCCAATTGGACCAATATGATGGTTCTTTGATGTCTGAAAAAACATAATTTTCAGTAGCTCCAACCAATAACACTGTCAAATGTTGTGGAAGCCGTTGTTTCCTTGAGCAAGAAACTTTACATTCATTGCTTAGTACTGATTGGTTCCAGGAACAGATTCGAGAGGTTTCAATAAGCTTATAGCTTCCAATACAATCGAACAAATATAAATTTGTATAAAATAAATGTTGTGTAATATCAAGCATGCCCATTATTACCTGTTAGAAAAACAATTTCCTAACAAAAGTTTAAACAAAATCATTTAACAGTTCATAGATAAAACTTTATAATTAATGCATGTTTGCAAAAATTTTCATTGGATAATCATGATCGTTATATAGTTTTATATAAACAGCTGCTGTCATTTATTTAAGAAATCTCACTTTATGTCCAAAAAAAGAGATGTTTGCTGTTTTATAAATTTGTTTAATATATTCCTGACAGACTATATGACTGTATATAAACTCTTGTTTGCTGCTCGGGTTATATTTCCAAACAGCCGTTTATATAGGGCCATATAATTTGTCAAAAATCCTTATAACAAAAAAAATACATGAAAGTTCTAACCTCTGGCTCTCGGTCCTCAATCATAACAGCCTCAGGGGGTGAGGGTACTGTACCAAAGGATACCTCTGCGCCGATATCTAATGAGGTATCAGTTAAGAGTGAGGCTTGAGATAACTGAAATATGACAATTATTGATTATAGAAAACATAGTTGCGAAGAGTGTACTGTCCTCAACATTAACTTTTAATGTTGTGAATGAGATTTGTTTTATTTAAAGATAGACCCTACCAGAAATATAGTCATAATATTGAGAAAAAGTCATTAACCACATATAACATGTTAATTATTACTTGAATCTTTAATATTTTTACATTTCTAAAGTCTAAGTAATATTTTATGAAGTTTGATTTTATTGAAATATTTTGGATTATCTTGAGGCATGTAGCTTTAAAATGTACCTCTTTACTTGATGCATAAATATGCTCATTTATATGCTCATTTTCTGCTGTGACATGAGAGATACCTGAAGCAAAACAAACACATTATACAATTAATTTTTCATGTTAAATGGCAAAAATTGAGTTTTATATATATTTCTGGTGACAAAGATAATGTTTTGCATGCATTGTCTCCCTTTCGGGAGACGATGATGACAATGACTTTACACTCGATTCTGTTCACGTATTAATATCAAAACAAAATGGCGGACTATTTGTGGATCTGTGCAATGGAATAAAAAAAGGTAAGTTTTTACCTTACTGCTTGCTTGGTTTGTTATGTTAATACGTAGAATTTAAGAAATTGTAAAAGTTTCATGTTTAGCAGCACTTAACTCGAAAATTACACGATAAAATTACCTGAATCCTCG